ATAATATCAATGTTGTAGATACCAATACAAAATCTATCATCTATAATTCTACCTGTAGAAGTAACCCAATACTTTCACTGATATCTACTTTCACTGATATCTACCAGCAGGACAGAGCTTGTGGAATCTACTGGTCCACAGGGAGTCATATCTAACTCCCGGATAGGAAATATTGATAAATCCGGATTTCAAAAGATTTGTCTAACAACAAAAACTAAAATATTTATCAGGATAATTCTTGGATGATGTTCACTTGCATCAAAGTTTTGGAATAAGAACAAAACCAGTGTCATTTTCAGTTTCTACAATGACAACGCCTACACCTGCGATATAAGTTTTTGTGCTCTCGTTCAATCACGACAATTATCATGACTTTTATCGATTCTGCCTTATAAATTCCATTTTTATGGAGGTTTACCCCAGGTCACATTCAAGGTTGCTTTCCACCTGCTGGGTTCTCCACAGCTTCATCACCAGACTTTCCACAAGAACTGGTACTTCTGAGCCAGTGTATTTAGGATGGTTTTGATATTATAGGATTATACAGACCAGCCTCTAGGATTGTCAAGGAATTTAGCGAATTATTCCTTGTGTAATAAACTGAAGCCTGTCTTACTTCACTTTTCATATACATAGTGCGATGTACTTTTATGGCTCGGTATTTATACCATGTAGAGTTATCTCCCATCTTGTACATTTCATTGCCAATCTTAAGAAAGGAAAAGGACCAATTTTTTTCCAATAAAATTTTGAAATATCAAATGCTACAAATATATGTCATACATACGTATGCAATCAGAAATATCTACATTTCACTTAACCTGCATCACAGTACATTGATCACGTCAAATCGAAAATTTAAATATCAATGGAGATAAACTATTTCAATCACATCGCTTTTGTCAACTGGTCATGTATTACGTCATCAAAGTACAAAGTATGCAAGACACATGGACCTGTCTTCACTGAAGAATTACCACGCGCGAGAACTGAACAATAAGCTGTGGCACGCGCGAGTGTGCTGATGTGGCCTCCATTAATATTTAATGTACCTCCCTCAGTTACGTAATAACACTCGCTTCCAGTATATTTGCCACCCAAACCGTTTTATTTTTAGAAATTTAAACACATGAATTCTCTAAAGTTTTTAAATATGCAAGAAAATAAGGCACGTTATAGAAACATAATAGAATTACTAGTGTTACAGGTCCCGCGCTTCTGACAAGATACTTTTTACACGACGCCCAATTTCTAATTAGTTCCAAAATACCACGCTTATCAAATATTGATAACAACAGTTACTTCCCCACTGTACATGTCTAATACATGTGAACATGTTGTTTATTAATCTACAAACCTTCCTGTGGAACTGAATCTAAAATTGCTGATTCATCAAATTAGACAAACTAATCATGCTATTTCGGAGCGGATTTACAGAATTGTCACAGCCTAGTGTGGAATAACACATCACACTATTGATTTAGACAACTAATAACCAAGAAACTCTTGAGATTAGTGCAGTAGAAAAACCAGGAGAAAAGATTGAAATGTTGACATAGGAAAACTGGAAATAATGCTAGACATAATCTATCTACCTTTTCGCAATTAATGACCCGCTGTCGTGACAACCGTTTCATATCTTAGGTTTTCCTATTTATGCATACTGTGGCGTTTTCCAGTAAAAATCATCTATGCTTTATCATGCATTAAAAAGAAACACTTAGAATAAAAAATACGATATTGATGCAGATGACGTTGTACAAAATAATTAGATTAAAACATCAGAAACTCTCTCCGTTAGCTCAGCTTATCGATACAAACATTCTTATTAAAAGACTCGTTTGGATCGATGAAATACAAAATACTTCATTCAACGTTATCATAATGGCAATCATATGATTATAAATGCCAACAGGGTAAGGACAGAAGTACGTCATGCTGAATAACCAGGAGAGTCAACTAAAGGCTGTACAATGCTTACATTTGTCATTTTCATTTAATAACTTAAACTGATGAAGTTATGTTAGCAATTGTAGAAATGATGACGTCACGAAATTGATTCAAAGCGGATTTTTCTATTAGGATTCGAAATATCATCAAACCAGTTTTATACATCTTTATACAAATATTTGTGGTTTTATGTGTCCTTACACATGTTTATATGTGGCTGTAAATTATAAATCCTTTTTACTATTTCACATAGTTAAGAACTTTTGTAAAGAACAGGTATTGTGTACATGACACGTGTTTAGAAAGATATGACGTATCTTAAAGAATATATGTATATTTCTGTGAAGCCTTTTGGGAATTACGTCAATATAAGTGTTAAATATTATGTATACAACACACCTTTTATATAGACAGAGCGCTGCGGATAAATTTACATAATGATATCCTGACGTTGTAAACCCTTGAGGAAAACTCTCCTGGGAGAACGTGTTCTAAATTTCAAAAGAAAAAAAACATATTCTCAAGGTTGTCTCTAAAATCAGTCGATATTTTATTTTTAAACAATGTGAAAATGATTTCGCCCATGGGAGTTCCACAGCCTTGAATTATAAAATTGATACATCTATATATAAACAAACACGACATCTAATGCACCTAACACGAGGTGCTGAAGGAGCACACTTACCAAAATACTTACACATTGCTATACAGAAACTGGATTCAAGAACCTGATTAAAAACGTCGAATGACGTATTACACTATAACGTATACATGTTTTGTCAGCCATACGAATTATCTCTCTTCCACATCCTTGTAACCTCAAACGTCATACCAGTAATCTTATATGTCATAGCGGTGACCTTCCACGTCATAGCGGTGACCTTACACGTCATACCGGTAACCTTAAATGTCATAGTGGTGACCTTACACGTCATAGCGGTAACATTACACGTCATACCGGTAACATTACACGCCATACCAGTAATCTTATATGTCATAGTGGTGACCTTACACGTCATAGCGGTGACCTTACACATCATACCGGTAACCTTAAATGTCATATTAGTAACCTTACATGCCATACCAGTGACCTATACACTGTAACGTAAAGGACCAACTTAGTACAATATCACCGTACCGTAAAGGACCAAATTAGTACAATATCACTGTACACTGTACCGTAAAGGACCAACTTAGTACAATATCACTGTACACTGTACCGTTAAGGACCAACTTAGACCAATATCACTGTACACTGTACTGTAAAGGACGAACTTAGTACAATATCACTGTACATTGTACCGTAAAGGACCAACTTAGTACAATATCACTGTACTGTAAAGGACCAACTTAGTACAATATCACTGTACCGTAAAGGACCAACTTAGTACAATATCACTGTACTGTAAAGGACCAACTTAGTACAATATCACAGTACCGTAAAGGACCAACTTAGTACAATATCACTGTACCGTAAAGAAAAAACTTAGTACCATATCACTGTACACTGTACCGTAAAGGACCAACTTAGTACAATATCACTGTACCGTAAAGGACCAACTTAGTACAATATCACTGTACTGTAAAGGACCAACTTAGTACAATATCACTGTACCGTAAAGGACCAACTTAGTACAATATCACTGTACACTGTACCGTAAAGAACCAACTTAGTACAATATTACTGTACACTGTACCGTAAAGGACCAACTTAGTACAATATCACTGTACCGTAAAGGACCAACTTAGTACAATATCACTGTACCGTAAAGGACCAACTTAGTACAATATCACTGTACCGTAAAGGACCAACTTAGTACAATATACACTGTACCGTAAAGGTAAAGGACAACTTAGTACAATATTACTGTACCGTAAAGGACCAACTTAGTACAATATCACTGTACCGTAAAGGACCAACTTAGTACAATATCACTGTACCGTAAAGGACCAACTTAGTACAATATCACTGTACCGTAAAGGACCAACTTAGTACAATATCACTGTACACTGTACCGTAAAGGACCAACTTAGTACAATATCACTGTACCGTAAAGGACCAACTTAGTACAATATCACTGTACACTGTACCGTAAAGAACCAACTTAGTACTGTACACTGTATAAAGGACCAATATCACTGTACCTGTAAAGGACCAACTTAGTACAATATCACTGTACACTGTACCGTAAAGGACCAACTTAGTACAATATCACTGTACCGTAAAGGACCAACTTAGTACAATATCACTGTACCGTAAAGGACCAACTTAGTACAATATCACTGTACACACTGTACACTGTACCGTAAAGGACCAACTTAACTGTACACTGTAAAAGGACCAACTTAGTACAATATCACTGTACCGTAAAGGACCAACTTAGGTAGTACAATATCACTGTACCGTAAGGACCAACTGTACACTGTACTGTTAAGGACCAACTTAGTACAATATCACTGTACACTGTACTGTTAAGGACCAACTTAGTACAATATCACTGTACCGTAAAGGACCAACTTAGTACAATATTACTGTACACTGTACCGTAAAGGACCAACTTAGTACAATATCACTGTACCGTAAAGGACCAACTTAGTACAATATCACTGTACCGTAAAGGACCAACTTAGTACAATATCACTGTACACTGTACCGTAAAGGACCAACTTAGTACAATATCACTGTACCGTAAAGGACCAACTTAGTACAATATCACTGTACCGTAAAGGACCAACTTAGTACAATATCACTGTACACTGTACCGTAAAGGACCAACTTAGTACAATATCACTGTACACTGTACCGTAAAGGACCAACTTAGTACAATATCACTGTACCGTAAAGGACCAACTTAGTACAATATCACTGTACCGTAAAGGACCAACTTAGTACAATATCGCTGTACTGTAAAGGACCAACTTAGTACAATATCACTGTACCGTAAAGGACCAACTTAGTACAATACCATATCACTGTGTTGTACACTGTACCGTAAAGGACCAACTTAGTACATATATCACTGTACACGTACCGTAAAGGACCAACTTAGTACAATCTTACTGTACACTGTACCGTAAAGGACCAACTTAGTACAATATCACTAACCCGTAAAGGACCAACTTAGTACAATATCACTGTATTGTAAAGGACCACCTTAGTACAATATCATTGTAGCTGCAACAGTTATAAACTTAGAGAAGAACGCATGCGCAAGAACAGAGAGATGTCCTTCAAGCTCCCTAGCGGCTGACTGTGTCTTGTTGTGGTTCCACCGGAAGAACAGATCCTCCGCTCCCGGAAAACCTTGTCCGCCGTAGTGGTTCGTAGCACTTGGTGTATGCAACAGATGTCTGACAACAAAAAGAAAAAAAAAGTTAAAATACCAAGAATTTTTTTCTGATATCCATTTAGTCTTCCATAAACAAATGGACTATCAATTATCTATAACAATTTTTTATTTAGTTATTAACTGTCAAATTTTGAGATGTGAGTGGTATGATAAAGTCTGAAATTTGGGACTAATTAGGATAGGATGACTATAATAGTGTTGAAGCATTTCGCTTGCTTTACACAGACTCTACCGTCGGACACATGGAAACTCCATCTGCGTTACATGTGTTGGTTGGCAGCGCGGTGTTCACCTAAAACCTGTCATTGAGTTACGTAAATTATTCATGCTATCCTGTATTCAAACCTGACTACATTATGGGTATCATTAAATAAGCTATTAATTCCCATTAGGTCGTGTTATTGTGCAGCTTAATTATTCATGTGGCTTCCTATTAATTTCTATCAATATACAATCAATATAGAAATAGTTGAAAACCAACGAAACGAAAAAGGGTCCTTTAGAACGTGATTAATCCGGCCAGGCCTGTAGAGATGACGTTAATAGGCCGAGTTTATTCTGACTCACAGTATGAATGCTACATGATGACGATACAGATCACTTTTTGAGAAAAATAACTTAAAGTAGATGACAAATAGTATATTTTGAGATACATTACTAGCTTGTTTGAGATACATACATGTAACTTACTTGTAATGCGGACGGTACAGAGGACACATTTCGAAATATATTGACACACATACCTTATTTGTAATATTGATGATAAAGATAACATTTTGAGTCACATAACTAACTCATTATATGGACGGTACAATGATATATTGAGACACATCTTACTTGTAATATGGACGGTACAATGATATATTGAGACACATCTTACTTGTAATATGGACGGTACAATGATATATTGAGAAACATAGCTCACTTTTAATATTGACGCTTGTTTGGGACACATACACGTAACTAACTTGTAATATAGACGAAAAAGAGAAAATATTTCGCGATTATTTCAACACATAACTTCCTTAATGTTCATTATACAGGTGGCATTTTAAGACACATAACTAACTCATTATGTGGACGGTAGAATGATAAATTGAGACACATTACTTACTTATATTGTAGACGGTAGAATGATAAATTGAGACACATATCATACTTGTAATGTGGACGGTACAATGATAAATTGAGACACATATCATACTTGTAATGAGGACGGTACAATGATAAATTGAGACACATAACTTACTTGTAATGAGGACGGTACAATGACATATTGAGACACATCTTACTTGTAATGTGGACGGTACAATGATAAATTGAGACACATCTTACTTGTAATGTGGACGGTACAATGATGAATTGAGACACATAACTTACTTGTAATGTGGACAGTACAATGATAAATTGAGACACATAACTTACTTGTAATGTCGACAGTACAATGATGAATTGAGACACATATCATACTTGTAATGAGGACAGTACAATGATAAATTGAGACACATATCTTACTTGTAATGTGGACAGTACAATGATAAATTGAGACACATAACTTACTTGTAATGTGGACAGTACAATGATAAATTGAGACACATATCATACTTGTAATGTCGAGGGTACAATGATAAATTGAGACACATAACTTACTTGTAATGTGGACAGTACAATGATAAATTGAGACACATATCATACTTGTAATGTGGACAGTACAATGATAAATTGAGACACATATCATACTTGAAATGTGGACAGTACAATGATAAATTGAGACACATAACTTACTTGTAATGTGGACAGTACAATGATAAATTGAGACACATATCATACTTGTAATGTCGAGGGTACAATGATAAATTGAGACACATATCATACTTGTAATGAGGACGGTACAATGATAAATTGAGACACATAACTTACTTGTAATGTGGACGGTACAATGATGAATTGAGACACATAACTTACTTGTAATGTGGACAGTACAATGATAAATTGAGACACATATCATACTTGTAATGTGGACAGTACAATGATAAATTGAGACACATATCATACTTGTAATGTGGACAGTACAATGATAAATTGAGACACATAACTTACTTGTAATGAGGACGGTACAATGATGAATTGAGATACACATCTTATTTGTAATGTCGAGGGTACAATGATAGATTGAGACACATAACTTACTTGTAATGTGGACAGTACAATGATGAATTGAGACACATAACTTACTTGTAATGTGGACGGTACAATGATGAATTGAGACACATAACTTACTTGTAATGTGGACAGTACAATGATAAATTGAGACACATAACTTACTTGTAATGTGGACAGTACAATGATGAATTGAGACACACAACTTACTTGTAATGTGGACAGTACAATGATAAATTGAGACACATAACTTACTTGTAATGAGGACGGTACAATGATGAATAAAGACACATAACTTACTTGTAATGTGGACGGTATGGTATACCATTGATATCAAGGAATGCCCTTTCTACAGCCATCATTTTATCGTTTACATTCCGGATCGCGATGGGACTGAAGTGGAATATTACATGTTAATAAACATAAGCTTAATAGCGAAACATTTCAAGTCCAAGATGTTTTTAAAAATTATAATATCACCATGATGATTTATTTGGAAAAAAAGACACATGTTCCATCGCTATCTGACATTTTTCATATTTTATTTACATATAAATAAATAAATAGGAATAAACAAATAAAAATGTATCATATTTAACCTGTGATCAGGTGTTTGCCCACGCAACAGCTTAAATAAGGGGGTGCACTGAAGTATTGCAATATTGTGTATTTAGATATGACAACTCGGTAAGACGACTTGGTGAGATGAACCATCGTAAAGACGATTGTGGAGACACTACTAGTATCTCTATGACCAGGATACGTTTGTACGATTACACCAGCTAACCAAAGAAAAATATTTAAACTTGTGTTTGAAATATGTCTCCATGTACAAATCCTACCTAACTTCATCAACGCCCATTCTTTGTCAGTCATAATACAGCGTCACTTATCAGGTCACAGGTCATCTAAGCTAAGTAAACCTAAACAGATGGATATAAAGTCATCATAGGTTTGGAGGGGGTGGGGATGCGTGTGTTATACATTACTTTTGCATGTCAGTTTCTTCCGCTGTCTTCTCAAACTTGTCAACGGCTTCAGCGAGAGCTTCACTACCCATTATGACACCATCTGAAACAGACAATCCTTTTATGGTACCATCTGATACATACCGACAACCCATTCATGACACCATCTCAAATAGAAAACCCCATTAGGACACAATCTCAAGCAGGCAACCACTTTACGACTCCATTCTAAACACAAAACCCCTTTACGACACCATATTAAACATACAAACCCTTTACGACATCATCTCAAACAGACAAACCCCTTTACGACATCATCTCAAACAGACAACCTCTTTACGACACCATCTAAAACAGACAATCCCTTCATGACACCATCTCAAACAGACAACCCCATAACGACATCATCTTAAACAGACAACCCATTTACAACATCATCTCAAACAGACAGCCCCTTCATGACACCATCTCAAACAGACAAACCATTTATGACACCATTTCAAACAGAAAATCCCATTATGACACCATTTCATGCAGGCAACCCCTTTCGACACCATCTTAAACAGAAAACCCCTTTACGACACCATATTAAACATACAAACCTCATTACGACACCATTTCAAGCTGGCAACCACTTTACGACTCCATCTCAAACGGAAAACCCCTTTACGACACCATATCAAACAGACAACAACTTTACAACACCATCTAAAACAGACCACCTCTTCATGACACCATCTCAAACAGAAAACCCCTTCATGACACCATCTAAAACATACAACCCCATAAAGACACCATCTTAAACAGACAACCCCTTTACGACACCAGCTCGACCAGACAACCCCTTTACGATACCATCTAAAACAGACCACCCCTTTCCGACACCATCTCAATCAGACAACCCCTTTACGACAACATCTGAATCGGTACACTGTGATTTACTCACTGGTAAAAACGTGTGTCAATCCTGACAATAAGATTCCTTAAGTAACAAATACATACATTTTTGAGTGTCTCAGGAATAATGCCAAACGTAAAGATTTAGCAGTTACTTTTATCTAATATTATGAAAATGTTTGAAAACTATTTCTGTAAGTAAGTATACATGTAAAAGGTACGTATGTCTTCTGATTATGGCTGAAGTATGAACGCAAGGTGATACATTTTTGACACAATGGGTATGCAAATGTACATTATACATGTACATTCACTATTCTCCTATAGGTCTATATATATGTTTTATTAATAACCCAATACTGTTCAGAGGATGCATGGTCTCATACCAAGTACATACGTTATTGTTTTAATCAGTGCTAGTGGTGGCTTGTGTTGTATGTGTGACATTTGGCTACTACAAGTGTGTATGTACATGTAAGCTGTATGTGTGATTAGTATCATATGTGTGGTATATTCAATACCAATGTGCACTTGGGTTGTCTGTTGGTATGTGTGTGGTGAAAAATGAATTATCTGCTTTGTGTGTGAAGAACATAAAGTCAACAAATTTGCTGTAGTTTGACGATTTATGATGTACAATGTATTGTTATGTGTTTTTGATGATAAAACTGAATAAAAAAATAAAATATATATAAAAAAAAATATCTAATATTATAACAATGAAATATACCAGTAAACGTATGTCTCTCGTTAAATCATTATCTGTTCTTGTGGTAAATGTGTAATGCCATATGATAAATGAAGGAAAATATTCAACGAACAAGTAATCAGAACTGACCGGAATAATACTGCATATTTTCTTGGCTAGGCTTACACGATGTTACAATGATAGGACTACTAAAACTATGATATTTATGGAACTTTACGAAATTTACTCATCAAGTCAGTGTATCAATAACCACAATATTCACTCTCTCCCTTTTCATACCGTTTCTTATTTGTATTCATGATGAGCTAGTTTTTTCTGAATCAACATAATTTTTAAAAAATTCTTTTTAGTTGTTCTTACCAACATGTTTTCGTATTTCTATTTAATTTTTCTCATCCTACATATAATTTTGTTTTTCTGTTTTATTTCTCTTAACCAAAATATTTTTATCTAGTTTTTCTTAACCAACATGTTTCCGTATTTTATGGTATTTTCTGAAGTAGCTACACACTTCATAACGATAGTTTTATCTCATCCGAATCTTTCATACGCATGTCTTTGCAAAACAGATATTTTCGGTCGAAGGGAGATAACTCGGTTCAATAATAAATCTAAACTGGTTTCCCGTACTTAAATATTTCTCTTCGACGATTCCGAAGACAGACGTGTTTAATGAATTCACTGACTCCCTCAAATCTTTAACATAGTCTCCGACTCCAAGGGGTAGAATAAGTGAATCTGAGAGTCGTCTGCCCGTCTCCGCCAAAAGTCCCACCATAGTACTGGAGATTTTGTATCCAGGATCTATCATCATCAACAGAGTAGTAGTTTCGTATCTAGTATGGTATAAAGGTGTCCCTGTCGATTCCCAATCGTCCTGTCAGAAACATAGTAAAAATGGTCACATATGATCATTTAAGTACATACCTAATAGACTGTGCTTTTGAAGCCAGATGTACCGTTATTTAAACATAAAACTCCATTTGGGAAGACCTGGTGCGAGTTAAAAGTTGGTGAATTTGTACCTACAATTCATCCCATTGTATATTTGTACGTATGTCTTTCACCGCATTTGAGAAGTTTTGCTTTTAACAATAAGAGACAGTTTCAGAAAGCTTAGACTAAACCCATGATTTCAATTTCTTAATATTAGCTTCAGAAGAAACAATTTTCTAAAGTTAGCTAACTGTTTAAAAAAAAATGGTTTCTCCCTTTCGAGTTAAGAATTTTCTCATGAAAGCGGAAAAACATACAATCAAGGTTATACTGAATTTTAATAATTCCACGGTCAATGTTTTTCTTCTATGTCAGTCTCCTATTTAATAATGCCACCTTTTAAACAATATGTAATAATTTTGATAATATCATTTGTATAATTTGTATAATATCATTTGTATCATTTGTAGTAAACATACATTGTCTCGTTATCTGGACCGAAACGGTTGTCTCTATTCCAATGGACCTACTTCGAATTAAGCCAGGTGGCTTTGTTATAAGCATAAAAGGTATTTTAGTTTCGTCTTGTCTTATCTGTTATACAACATGTACTAATTTACAGCATTGTCCAGTTATGTAATTAGAACGTTTTAATTTGAATCCATATTTCAATTATCAGCCTATAAGAGCCAGATACTTTTATAATCATGTAAGACTTATCAGTTTATAAATTGTGTGTTAGTCTGTATGTGTTTTTACATTAATTAATATTACTAAATAAAATTATGTTAAACCATAACAACTGGAAATGATAAAGTAAATGTAACAAAGGATGATGATTAATAAAGCACGTGCTAAGACAATGGAGACGTAATTCTCACAATATGTATAGATGAAGTAGTGCTTATCCTAGCAATCAGACATTTGTTAGATGTACTGTGAAAATGGGTTACCGTCTTAGCAAATTTTGCATAAAGTGATGGCACTCCGGCATTAGCTACAAATGGCGTGTGGTCACTTCCCGAGCCGATCCTATACGTTCTGTGAAAAAAGAACAACATGGATGATTGTGTCATTGGTAACACGTAATACATTACTGTATCAGTGTTCGTACCTAATAGTAAGACAATTGAGTAGAATTTCTCGAGATAATGTCATACATATTCATGGGACTCAATTTTCGTGGTTTGTTGAAAAAAAAATAAATATTTCCCCGTTTGTCAAATATGTCTGAGAGAAGGAACACTCAATGGTACTTTATGGCATGATAAAAATATACCAACTCTATTTAAAAAAAACTTTTTAAAAATGATAACCTACAATTATCTGTTAAATTACCTTGGTTTATCCAGCTCTCCTCGCCAAACATCAAAAACAGACTGGCTGGTAATATGGGGATCTGGTACCTAAGCCAAAATGACTGATTTACACATATGATATCACATGCTTCTTCAGATGTGTTATTGAATTACATGTATCTGTGTTCGTAAATAATGTTTGACTAATATTTGGTGTGACTAGTGTTATGGTAATCACTTACAAATAATAAAATAGTTATAATGTACATATTCCCCTCCACTAATAGTTATATGAAAGTGTGCCCTTTCCTATTCTTTGTTCGGTTTAGAGTTATTTTAAAATAAAACTATAAGATAAATTGAACGCACTGATTAAAAAAAGTAATTGATACAATGCTGTCATCTTGCATGACTATGAAACAAAATACCTTGAGAAAGTTCTGCCCGGCGTGAATATACGCCAGTTAATAATCTCCCTTCTCTCTATTCCGATCTAAAATCATGTTAACATCATTGACATATTACAATAGAAGATTGGATACAGTGAGAAACATACAAGTAATCCCTGTGATGTTTTGGAGATTATGATAAACAGTCTAATCAGCTAGCAATCAGTTTGAATGTTAGGATAATTACCTGTTTGGCGGCATCGAAAAAGACTTGTTGTAACAGAGGAACAGTCTTTAGACGCAGAGTCCGGTTACCTATAACATAAGAATGTTTGAAGTCATTAGCAATGTCAGGAAAATCACGATTGGTTTGAAAGAGGATATAAATGTATCATTGATTCATCAAGTCCTTTTTATTTGCAAAGTGACACTCTTTTGGAAAAAGAGGTTCTGCAAGCAAAATACTACAAGTAGGAATGATAGATCCGAAAGTTTAATATCACCAATGTTACGGCTTGTATACACTTACCAGATACAGCAGAGTCTACGGTTTGTATACACTTACCAGATACAGCAGAGTCTACGGTTTGTATACACTTACCAGATACAGCAGAGTCTACGGTTTGTATACACTTACCAGATACAGCAGAGTCTACGGTTTGTATACACTTACCAGATACAGCAGAGTCTACGGTTTGTATACACTTACCAGATACAGCAGAGTCTACGGTTTGTATACACTTACCAGATACAGCAGAGTCTACGGTTTGTATACACTTACCAGATACAGCAGAGTCTATATTTATGTAAGCCACTGCATTTGACGTCAGCCATTTTAGGTTATCCTGAAACACATAGAGAACGTGATACTTGTGAACATCTGGACAGTGTGTAGATTCTACTGTTAAATCTTTCGCTGCTGCTTGTGATCTCTCCCTAATATTCTATACGTTATGTGTCGCTACTCAGTCGTATTACCATCAGTTTCCCAGAATGATTTTTAATGGAACGAACCTGACATCAAACACACTATAACAGACAACTTAGTAGGAAGTTTCATGCTTATTCTGCTATCAATGGAGAGCTTTATAAATAAGTTATCAATAAGTTATCAATAAGTAAATGAATTAGCCAGGAACATAACACCTGATACCGATGGATTCTTTGGTTATTAGAAGTTGCATTTCATGTCGTATGTTTTCACAAAACCTTTACAGGTAAATGAAATGGTTATTGATCACATATCGAGTTGAAATCTTTGGTAATCAAAGCCACGGAGTGAAGGCAAAATAAAGATTTGGAGTATAGAAGTGGTTTGTGGTAAAAGTAAGATATGGTGTATAGAAGTGGTTTGTGATAAAAAGTAAGATTTGGAGTATAGAAGTGGTTTGTGGTAAAAGTTAGATATGGAGTATAGAAGTGGTTTGTGATAAACGTTATATATGGAGTATAGAAGTGGTTTGTAGTAAAAGTAAGATATGGAGTATAGAAGTGGTTTGTGGTAAAAAGTAAGATATGGAGTATAGAAGTGGTTTGTAAAAAGTAAGATTTGGAGTATAAAAAGTAAGATATGGATAAAAAGTAAGATATGGAGTATAGAAGTGGTTTGTGATAAAAAGTAAGATTTGGAGTATAGAAGTGGTTTGTGATAAAAAGTAAGATATGGAGTATAGAAGTGGTTTGTGATAAACGTTATATATGGAGTATAGAAGTTGTTTGTGATAAAAAGTAAGATATGGAGTATAGAAGTGGTTTGTGGTAAAAGTTATATATGGAGTATAGAAGTGGTTTGTGGTAAAAGTAAGATATGGTGTATAGAAGTGGTTTGTGGTAAAAGTTAGATATGGAGTATAGAAGTGGTTTGTGATAAAAAAAGATAAGATGATAAAAATGATATGGAGTATAGAAGTGGTTTGTGGTAAAAAGTAAGATATGGAGTATAGAAGTGGTTTGTGGTAAAAGTAAGATATGGAGTATAGAAGTGGTTTGTGATAAAAAGTAAGATATGGAGTATAGAAGTGGTTTGTGGTAAAAGTTAGATATGGAGTATAGAAGTGGTTTGTGATAAAAAGTAAGATATGGAGTATAGAAGTGGTTTGTGATAAAAAGTAAGATTTGGAGTATAGAAGTAAAAAGTGGAGTATAGAAGTGGTTTGTGTAAAAGTAAAAAGTATAGAATTTGGAAAAGTAGTAGAAGTGGTTTGTGGTAAAAGTAAGATATGGAGTATAGAAGTGGTTTGTGGTAAAAAGTAAGATATGGAGTATAGAAGTGGTTTGTGGTAAAAAGTAAGATATGGAGTATAGAAGTGGTTTGTGGTAAAAAGTAAGATTTGGAGTATAGAAGTGGTTTGTGATAAAAAGTAAGATATGGAGTATAGAAGTGGTTTGTGATAAAAGTAAGATATGGAGTATAGAAGTGGTTTGTGGTAAAAGTAAGATATGGTGTATAGAAGTGGTTTGTGGTAAACGTTAGATATGGAGTATAGAAGTGGTTTGTGGTAAAAAGTAAGATATGGAGTATAGAAGTTGTTTGTGGTAAAAGGTAAGATATGGAGTATAGAAGTGGTTTGTGGTAAAAAGTAAGATATGGAGTATAGAAGTGGTTTGTGGTAAAAAGTAAGATATGGAGTATAGAAGTGGTTTGTGGTAAAAAGTAAGATATGGAGTATAGAAGTGGTTTGTGGTAAAAAGTAAGATATGGAGTATAGAAGTGGTTTGTGGTAAACGTTATATATGGAGTATAGAAGTGGTTTGTGGTAAAAAGTAAGATATGGAGTATAGAAGTGGTTTGTGGTAAAAGTAAGATTTGGAGTATAGAAGTGGTTTGTGGTAAAAAGTATGGAGTATAGAAGATATGGAGTATAGAAGTGGTTTGTAAGAAGTGGTTTGTAAATAAGTAAAAGTTAAGTATATGATATGGAGTATAGAAGTGGTTTGTGGTAAAAGTAAGATTCGGAGTATAGAAGTGTTTTGTGGTAAAAGTTAGATATGTAGTATAGAAGTGGTTTGTGGTAAAAAGTAAGATATGGAGTATAGAAGTGGTTTGTGGTAAAAAGTAAGATATGGAGTATAGAAGTGGTTTGTGATAAAAAGTAAGATTTGGAGTATAGAAGTGGTTTGTGGTAAAAAGTAAGATATGGAGTATAGAAGTGGTTTGTGATAAAAAGTAAGATTTGGAGTATAGAAGTGGTTTGTGGTAAAAAGTAAGATATGGAGTATAGAAGTGGTTTGTGGTAAAAGTAAGATATGGAGTATAGAAGTGGTTTGTGATAAAAAGTAAGATATGGAGTATAGAAGTGGTTTGTGATAAAAAGTAAGATATGGAGTATAGAAGTGGTTTGTGGTAAAAAGTAAGATATGGAGTATAGAAGTGGTTTGTGGTAAAAAGTTAGATATGGAGTATAGAAGTGGTTTGTGGTAAAAGTAAGATTTGGAGTATAGAAGTGGTTTGTGGTAAAAGTAAGATTTGGAGTATAGAAGTGGTTTGTGGTAAAATGAGTATAGAAGTGGGTTGTGGTAAAAGTTAGATATGGAGTATAGAAGTGGTTTGTGGTAAAATGAGTATAGAAGTGGGTTGTGGTAAAAGTTAGATATGGAGTATAGAAGTTGTTTGTGGTAAAAGTAAGATATGGAGTATAGAAGTGGTTTGTGGTAAAAGTTAGATATGGAGTATAGAAGTGGTTTGTGGTAAAAGTTAGATATGGAGTATAGAAGTGGTTTGTGGTAAAAGTTAGATATGGAGTATAGAAGTGGTTTGTGGTAAAAGTTAGATATGGAGTATAGAAGTGGTTTGTGGTAAAAGTTAGATATGGAGTATAGAAGTGGTTTGTGGTAAAAGTAAGATTCGGAGTATAGAAGTGTTTTGTTGCATTTCTATTTTCCATATTAAGGAAACTACTTGACCAATACATTACTAACCGATAATGACCTTACCTCTACCCATTCGTAAGAACCTACAAGTCCATATTCCTCCGCGTCCCAGCTACAAAACAAAAGAGTTCGTCTTGGACGCCAACCTACAAAACAATACCTTTTTTTATCTATCAGACGACAGAGGGCTTTTCGTTTGTTTAAGTGGATATTCACTGGACACATTACGTACTCACATGCCAGATATTCTATATTTTTCTCAAGTGAATTAAAATATCCTCATCAAGTTGATGTTAAAATACCTAAAATTGCGCTGCTATTATCTTCACATAGATTAAATAAAGAAGTAAGGAGACGACATAAATCAAACGAAAGTTATAAAAAAAAAGAAAAAAGGGGTGTGTGTACTCAAATCGAAGATGAATATGGACTGAAATTAGGGTTAAATTTAGAAAAAGAAAATATTACTGAAGATTGAAAATGTGAAAAATCGCTGAACTCTTATCCTCAAAATTTAGCAACGTTTATTAACAAAACAAATGATTTTTAGACAGGGAATCTACTTGATGTATAACTTATACTGTTTAGACAGGGAATCTACTTGATGTATAACTTATACTGTTTAGACAGGGGATCTACTTGATGTGTAACTCATACTGTTTTGACAGGGAAACTACTTGATGTATGACTTATATACTGTTTTGACAGGGAATCTACTTGATGTTTAACTTATACTGTTTAGACAGGGAATCTACTTGATGTGTAACTCATACTGTTTAGACAGGGAATCTACTTGATGTATAACTTATACTGTTTAGACAGGGAATCTACTTGATGTATAACTTATACTGTTTAGACAGGGGATCTACTTGATGTGTAACTCATACTGTTTTGACAGGGAATCTACTTGATGTATGACTTATACTGTTTAGACAGGGAATCTACTTGATGTATGACTTATACTGTTTAGACAGGGAATCTACTTGATGTGTAACTCATACTGTTTAGACAGGGAAACTACTTGATGTATGACTTATATACTGTTTTGACAGGGAATCTACTTGATGTTTAACTTATACTGTTTAGACAGGGAATCTACTTGATGTGTAACTCATACTGTTTAGACAGGGAATCTACTTGATGTGTAACTCATACTGTTTAGACCGGGAATCTACTTGATGTATAACTTATACTGTTTAGACAGGGAATCTACTTGATGTATAATTCATACGGTTTAGACCGGGAATCTACTTGATGTATAACTCATACTGTTTAGACAGGGGATCTACTTGATGTATAACTTATACTGTTTAGACAGGGAATCTACTTGATGTATGACTTATACTATTTAGACAGGGAATCTACTTGATGTGTAACTCATACTGTTTTGACAGGAAATCTACTTGATGTGTAACTCATACTGTTTAGACCGGGAATCTACTTGATGTATAACTCATACTGTTTAGACCGGGAATCTACTTGATGTATAACTCATACTGTTAAGACAGGGAATCTACTTGATGTGTAACTCATACTATTTAGACAGGGAATCTACTTGATGTGTAACTCATACTGTTAAGACAGGGAATCTACTTGATGTGTAACTCATACTGTTTAGACAGGGAATCTACTTGATGTGTAACTCATACTGTTTAGACAGGGAATCTACTTGATGTGTAACTCATACTGTTTAGACAGGGAATCTACTTGATGTGTAACTCATACTGTTTAGACAGGGAATCTACTTGATGTGTAACTCATACTGTTTAGACAGGGAATCTACTTGATGTGTAACTCATACTGTTTAGACAGGGAATCTACTTGATGTGTCACTCATACTGTTTAGACAGGGAATCTACTTGATGTGTAACTCATACTGTTTAGACAGGGAATCTACTTGATGTGTAATATCTGTTTAGACAGGGAATCTACTTGATGTGTAACTCATACTGTTTAGACAGGGAATCTACTTGATGTGTAACTCATACTGTTTAGACAGGGAATCTACTTGATGTGTAACTCATACTGTTTTGACAGGGAATCTACTTGATGTAACTTATACTGTTTAGACAGGGAATCTACTTGATGTGTAACTCATACTGTTTAGACAGGGAATCTACTTGTAACTCATATGTAGACAGGGAATCTACTTGATGTTTAACTCATACTGTTTAGACAGGGAATCTACTTGATGTGTAACTCATACTGTTTTGACAGGGAATCTACTTGATGTGTAACTCATACTGTTTTGACAGGGAATCTACTTGATGTGTAACTTATACTGTTTAGACAGGGAATCTACTTGAAGTGTACTGTTTAACTTGATGTATAACTTATACTGTTTAGACAGGGAATCTACTTGATGTATAACTTATACTGTTTTGACAGGGAATCTACTTGATGTGTAACTCATACTGTTTAGACAGGGAATCTACTTGATGTGTAACTTATACTGTTTAGACAGGGAATCTACTTGAAGTATAACTCATACTGTTTAGACAGGGAATCTACTTGATGTGTAACTCATACTGTTTAGACAGGGAATCTACTTGATAAGTAACTCATACTGTTTAGACAGGGAATCTACTTGATAAGTAACTCATACTGTTTAGACAGGGAATCTACTTGATGTGTAACTCATACTGTTTAGACAGGGAATCTACTTGATGTGTAACTCATACTGTTTTGACAGGGAATCTACTTGATGTGTAACTCATACTGTTTTGACAGGGAATCTACTTGATGTGTAACTCATACTGTTTAGACAGGGAATCTACTTGATGTGTAACTCATACTGTTTAGACAGGGAATCTACTTGATGTGTAACTCATACTGTTTAGACAGGGAATCTACTTGATGTGTAACTCATACTGTTTTGACAGGGAATCTACTTGATAAGTAACTCATACTGTTTAGACAGGGAATCTACTTGATAAGTAACTCATACTGTTTAGACAGGGAATCTACTTGATGTGTAACTCATACTGTTTAGACAGGGAATCTACTTGATAAGTAACTCATACTGTTTAGACAGGGAATCTACTTGATGTGTAACTCATACTGTTTAGACAGGGAATCTACTTGATGTGTAACTCATACTGTTTTGACAGGGAATCTACTTGATGTATGACTTATACTATTTAGACAGGGAATCTACTTGATGTGTAACTCATACTGTTTAGACAGGGAATCTACTTGATGTGTAACTCATACTGTTTAGACAGGGAATCTACTTGATGTGTAACTCATACTGTTTAGACAGGGGATCTACTTGATGTGTAACTCATACTGTTTTGACAGGGAATCTACTTGATGTATAACTTATACGGTTTAGACAGGGAATCTACTTGAAGTATAACTTATACTGTTTAGACAGGGGATCTACTTGATGTATAACTTATACTGTTTAGACAGGGGATCTACTTGATGTATAACTTATACTGTTTAGACAGGGAATCTTCTTTATGTATAACTTATACTCCTTCATTTACAATATCATCTGCCGATAAAGGTTATTGTAATCATACATACAGTCTCCTCTAAACATGTGAGGTTCCTCATACAAGGAAACATACCTGTTTCTAACAATTTTCCAAATATTCGAGCTATTTCTATAAGAACGATCCCACCGGAAGCTGGATCGGCGCCTCCATAGATCCAAGCGTCTCTATGGTTTCCAAATATGACGTAGCGATCTGAAAAGAATGAAAGACACTGATTTAATTACAATCTAAATTGGCCTTAAAGAGAAAATATTGTTCACATTTTCCTGTTTTCATTCATGATCATGTCAATTATTTATGTAAAATGTTTGATCTTTTCTCTGAATGGAGTACCAAAAATGGAAGCAATTTATAGCCTTCCAGTGCATATTAAAATCACTGTACTATATCCTGTGGAAACAAAGTGATTTGATATCACAATAACTTACCTGGTTCAATAGCACCTGTGATCTGGCCTATCACGTTGTGTATTGGAACTGTGCGATTCTCGTTATTGACTACAAGCTTTATTTTCCTGATAGAAAGGAGAAAATGTGAAGTAAAGTCAACCACTGCTGGTTGTGGAAGGTATTGGAGGCAAGGAGAATGGTCAAGATGTGTGTATCATTAAACAAGAGACAAATTCACAACAGTATGTGATATCTCGGATTAAGAAAAAATGGTTGAAAGCCGAGGATAATAAAGAGTTAGCAAATTTTAACTGATCGCTTTGTTGTTGGTTTTCACACCTGATAATGCTGTGTAAATTTGACATTAAAGTACCGTTATAAATACAAGTGATTACCCTACCTGTTACCTCGTAATCTTGGGCCGAACCTGTAGGTGATGTTTAGGTTTCCTCGCCATTCCGGTAGTACTTCATCCCCCTCCATCTCCCTGTAACGGAAAAGGCGGTAGATCAGATCACTCTATTGTTGCGTCATTTGTGTTTTTTTTCTGAAAAACCATGATCTAATTAATGTTGCTACTAATGTAGCTAAGTTATTGGAATAGGAGATATACAAAATATTCCTCTTTACAGAGAGTTAATCTTGACAATGATTGGCTGTTCAAGTTAGCGCAATGGTGATGACACTGTTTCTTAATAATTTACTTCTATAAATAGCGAAAAAGTAGAAGTAATAATAAATAGTTTGTTATTAGATGGGAGATGTAAAAATAAATACAGAACTAAGTGGAATGATTAGAAAAACATATTTCCCGTCGAAAAATTCTAATTTACCCCAAAATATTAAATGCGTCCCGATATCCAATAGGATGACAAGGGATCACTGGGAGTTTGTCCTTTAGTTCCTCCTCCGATAACCTCTGTGTATACCCTAATATGGTCAGGAAAACAAAACAAAAAATAATCTTTGTATTAACTTTGATATATAGCAGGTAAAACTAGGAGTAAGAAGAAAACAAATATTCGCCTTTATTAAGGATCCCTTACCAATCATCTCTCTCAAACTGATTTCCCGTTCAAATGCCTAATTTTCCCTGTAATCCTGTATACTCTTTTTAATAGTTTCTGATAGGTTATACATACACTGTTAAGGATTGCTTTGAATTTTGGTATCTTTAAAGACGTTTTTTGGTCAATAATATTGACAGTACATAGTCCGTCATCAATCTAATTTGAAAACATAAACGTAAGGGACTGCCTCGTCAAACGTTGAGAAGAATTTCTGAGATATTCTACGCCTGGAAAGGGATCTACTACATAACCATTGTGATGACATGCAACAATAGAATCTATATTTTCATTATATCGGGTTTCTTTTGTTTTACGAAACTGTTTTATCAGAAACATTGTCGGTACTTACCTTTTATCTTTTAAGGAAGCCATTGTGTTTCATATCAGTAGATTTTTCATATCATCCAATATTTGTACGATAAAAATACGTATGAACCTGATGAATTTTGCAATGTTTTTACTGATGAGCTAGACACTTCTAACGGAAAGAGGTAATTTGTCCAAAAAAAAAAAAAGTAAATAAATATGTTTTCTCCTATCCCTACAAGAATTTCTGACCAATTTGTTTTTACAATTTAATAATACAATACTTTGCAGGTAATTATCAACTCATAGCAAAATACAGTGTTATTATGAGATATACGAGATTAAGTCCGGAAAATCTTACATAAGGCGGGGTATCCGGGAGTCGCTTGGTCACCTTTGGTCATTATGATATTGCCCCTCTGTATACCAGTTTCCGGTAGCCACCAAGTGTCGGGGTACGGGTCAGCCATACCGGATGTTGAGTTCGACGGCGGTGGACCATAGTCGGCGGGGTCCGAGTACAGTATCACTCCTACACACCCAGCTTGGTGGGCAAACAGAACCTGGAGAGGTTAGGGTGTAGGAAGGGAGGAAAGGGGAGGAGAGGAAGAAAGGAAGGAAGGACAATGGTGACAAAAATATAGCACGAAATAAAAGAATGACAGATAAAAGATGACATCACTAAAACGTTTAATAAATTAGAGCAAGGTTATCAAAATGATGCATACATACAGAACATCTAGAGAACGTTCAAAGAGGACTTGCTGTGGACGCTCAAACACCAGCGAAACTCTTAAAACACAAAATAGGTTATTAAGATGGAAAACTTAATAGTGGAAACTGGTTCCTGAAAAGGAAAAGTTATACCAACCAAGAGAACAAAAAAATGTGGAAGATCTATACATACTATCACAGGAATAATAGGAGTACGTCAACACCAGCAGACTGTAGGGTCTCGTAAATAATACAGAATATATACTCCACAGAAGTAGCCAATAGCAAAGGTACGCTTATCAGTGACAGTCAAACAAAGACGGGAATATTGGTCAAACCATCTTAGTCCGATACAATAAAACGTGTATTGGAAGCTATCTCGCACCTTCAAGTAGATAAAGACAGTGGTACAAAACTCCTCTGGAATCTAAACATATTAAAAGCAGCAAGATGAAAAAACCGAACAGAATCCTGAAAGATTCGGCGGAAGAAAATCAGTGGACTCGAGAGAACTATCATCAGACTTGAGAAATCAACATCCCCTGTATATACAAAAAGGGTGACAGCAGTCTCCAATATCAGTAATATTCCAAATTATGGAACGATCTGTCGACACATGCTAGAGCATTTAGAAAGACACAATACACAATACACCATTTCACAGCTTCAGATCTGGTTATTCATGTGAGACACTATTGCTCCTGACCATAAATGCGCACTACAGTGGTAACCAGGTTGATATTTAATACTGAACCTTTCAAAACCATTTGACATCGTGTCACTTGGGAAACTTCTGCATAAAGTACAAAAAACACCAACACCAAGGACTCCAGGCAATCTCAAATGGGGGCATCTATATCAACAACATCGCACGAAAAACGGGGCCAACTTTAACCACCTGGTCTTTTTCCTTGTTACTTTTCAGAAGTCTCCATGTACAACGTTCTTTTGTTCATATGTTATCCTAGTTTATTGAATTTTAGTTTGGATTATGAAGATGTTGGCATATTGGTATTTTTTTGAATTATTGGCCAAAAAGATTAGGAAAACAACATACTCTTCCATTATGGATTATTATTTGGGTCTAAAATCAGACATAAAACTGTAAAGAATACAAAGAAGGGCACCTCGTGTAGTTACTGGATATTAAGAATAACGGGAAGAAGGATCTACACCATCTGAAAATTACCACGGTAACAAACCAGGACATCACAGCAGCTGGTATTCAAAATAGTCGACAGACTAATTTCAGCCCTACCTCTGATAAGATAATCAAGCCCTCGGAAAGATTGCGGAAAACGTTACGAGAACTATGACCTACCAACAATACTAAACAGAAATATTGTCAACAGCACAAAATCACTAATTAACCCAGGTTAAAAAAGAAACTACTAAAAAAAAAAAAAAAAAAACTGCTTTGTCAAAACATCGCGGGAATGAGATCAGTCCTTCTAAGAATCACAACCAAAGAGAGTTCTAGATAACTCTCCTGTTGTGTCCTGTCATTATAGGTAACATAGACGTGCGTGTAACTGTAATGTGTATGAAACAAAACAGAAATAAAGGAGATGACAATGTAAGAACGATAACTCTAAAATAAGTTCAAGTTACATGTAGCAGACACCAAATATATCGGATTTTTTTTTACCTTATTTCCTCTGAAGATTTTTCCATATCTAGCGATGACGATTTTACCGGAGCAGTTGATTCCAAGTTCATGAAGTTTATCAAAATCTTCTGCCCGTCCATAATTAGCATACACCAAGTCAGCCTTCAATAGTAATTAAAAAGTCTTGCACAGGAAAATTATTGTTACAGAGAAATGCATGGAACTCGACCAGGAACTGAGTCCTCGTCATACTTAATCAAATGTTCTATCACAGGTAGCTCATCTTAGTATAAAAAAAAACATCTAAAATACAGTTTCTAGGTATCAAAAAAAAAAAAAAAAAAAAAAACGTCAACGTGAGGATGTCAGATTCGCAACCACATTTCTACGGTGCCTCCTAAAATATACTAAGTTGAAAATGTATGTATATAGGAAAAAGTATATATATACATAGATAAGATAAGTAAATACACTCTACTCTACGACGTTATATAATGGTTTAAATGTTATAAACAATATCATGAATTTCCCAATAATACCACGTACATGTTTGTTTTAATTTTCATATTTTATATAATTGTTTAAATGTTATTAACAATATAATAAATTTTCCAATAGTACCACGTACGTGTTTGTTTTAATTTCTATTTTCCCACTATATTATGCTTAACTTCAATGTGTATTTACTTTCACATATCGATATAACAGTCCTGCTCCCGAATACAGCCGCTTTTTCAGAGACACGCCTTCAGACACTTTCCTCAAAGATATAGAATGTAAAGTTATTGTCAAGGAGGACTTTCTCACTCTCACAATGGAATTCATATTATCAAGGTTCTAATTTGAAGATTCATAGTGTAGAATACCTACTATGACGTCACCACTTGGAGAAAAGGCATTAAAGGCCTGTATTTCGTCTGGATGTCTGGTATCTTCTCGAGTAAGCTCTTCCAGAGACACTGTACGGTACTGAACATTTTCGTCTTCGTCTATCACTGCAGCCTGAAGTATACATGTACTCATGACGGCTCTTTTCGTTTCAGTTCTAAACAATTTATAGAGGGAAAGGTAGATAGTACGAGACATAACAATGTCTTCATTAAAGCACCGCGACACGCTTGGATGTAATGTTTGATATGGTACTTCGTCTTATAGCTTATTTCAATATAATACAAGGTGATACTCACGTAGTTGTTCTGTCCCTCTACTGGATAAGACAAGAACACATCATACGTTTCTATCTGTGACGCCAGACCATATTCTTTAAACAGGTTGTGTACATAATCAGCGCTTTCCCTCTGACTATCTGTTCCAGCAAGCCTCGGTTTGGATGTCAGCTCTCTGTTTAAAATGCAAATCATAAAAAAAATAATCCACGTGTTTGTTACATAAGATGACCATTGAGACACTGACTTTATATCAAATCTATGTCAAGTTACATTCATCACAATACATTAGGTTTTATCGCTTTAACGTGCTAATTATTTACACATCATGTGACAACAGACTATCAACCGCGGCAACAGACTATCAACAGCGGCAACAGACTATCAACAGCGGCAACAGAATGTAAACAACGACAACATGCTATAAATAGCACAACAAATTATCAACAGCAGCAACAGCGGCAAAAGACTATTAACAGCAGCAACAGCGGCACCAGACTATCGATAGCGGCAACAGACTATCAACAACAACAACATACTGTCATCAATATCCAAGCGGAAGCAAAACCAACGACAGCAGAAGCTGCAACAAAAACAATAGCAGAAAAAATGCACACAACAAAACAACAACAACAAACAAGACTTCAATCATCAAATGTAAATTATATAAAACAGCACGCGCTGACATCCTTACCTATAAACATTATCCATATGTTGAACATCAATCAAGCCCTGTAGAGTGTCTGTGATTCCATGATCCGCCTCCTTCGTCAGCTGATCAAGCTTAGCACTCGGACAGGCTCCGGAGTTCGGCCCATAGAACGTCTTTGAGAAGAAACCAATGAGAATTCCAAGGACAAACACGAGCACGGCAACCAGGGCTGCCACGCCCATCCCTTTATGGTTGTGAAACGACATTTCTTGAGTCTAGGATGTACAATAATAAGTGCAAATTTGACAGAATATCTCACGCAGTGTCCATACCTCTTGTGTACCCCTATAAGCCGAGATAGTGTTCGTTCTGATACACATGTACTACAATGTTACACACGCGTAAAACATTGCTGTACCACTGTGCGTGGAGCACGTACAGGATAACACGTCTATTTGTACCTTAGAACAACTAAATTACATTCGAAGTCACGAGCCTCCATAGAATCTGGAGCACGTCCGAATGTGTGATCCACCATACTATATACACAACATCAACTTTCTTGGTATGACAGTAATAATCAACGTGGAAATCACGCAGTCTCAGGAATTTCTCTCACTGTGAGTCGTACTCGTCTTCCTACATATATAAATACCATAAAACTATAATAAAAACTATATTGTGTTTGAGAGAAAATCATTGTTTATACGACGGGCACGTTCCCATTTACTAGAAGGCACTGAGTTAAACAGGCGCTGATAATATACATGTATATTAGCTAGTGGGCGTAGATTTCATTAACAAACAAAACAGTGAATGTGCAGGAGTGATCAAGAAAGGTGCGATGATTATGGTGCTGCTGCTAAGATACGAGAGAGGCTTGTAAAACTAAAGCAGACGCCAAGATGGTCAGTTACTACGAAGCAAAATACAAAGATTAGGTTGCAGGTGATTCGATATACCAATGTTTGTTCTCAATATCACAATTTTATGCAAGATGTTGGCAGCGGAGAATAAACTCCCTAAACAGGGTTACGAGAGATATAGGTTGATGAAAATGATAGGGAAGTTTTACGGTCGTCATAGTGATCTCAAAGAGAAACATTTATTTTTATCTCTATGTGATATGATATTGGACGTGTTTGATGCTCGTCAGTAAACCTGCTGATTCCGTTGTTGTTTACTCTGTTCTCATACTTGGGAACGTGACATTTCTTACTTGGATTGACCAAGATTTACAAGGCGAGTGTCGTCTCCCTGTACTTTTCGAAAGTCTCCTTGTAAATATTTTTTCTGTGCATATTTTTCCTCGTTTTATTGACACAAAATATGGTTTATGTTGACATGTATCAGTTTGTTGTTTTTATTTTCAGTTCTGGTGGGTATATCATATGTTCAAGCTAAATTCCTTACCCATGTAAAGACAGGGTATCATCAATATAACTCAAAAATAGATATGTAACGTATTTTTTTTTATCTCGGATAATTTTCGTAATGTAATCCCCAATATACTCATGAATTATGACACTAACCCAAATATGGCGGTCATAGTTCCTGTTGAGGTAAATGATTGACATCGACACTGGACATTTGTCATCGAAATGTGAAGATGAGAGTACGATAATGATACTCTTTGTGGCTTATTCCGATTCATTTTCCTCCACTACAAGCGAGTTTGTTGGGAATGTCAGAATGCCGATAAAGACGATTGTCGTTTATCGATATGATCTAGGGACCAACTTCAATCCTTTTATCTCAACATATTTCACATGGTGTTGTCTCCTTCCGTACCTGGATAAGTCTACACAACATGGTACATAAATCCCAATCTCCATATAAAGACATACAGACAAATTCCGACGAGTCTTCCGTCACTTTCCGAAGTCTCCCCACGATGTGCGTGGTGTTATCGATCTATTTTAATGAACAAATACATCTGCCATTCAGAGATGGACATGACGATTTTCGGGCATTTACACTTTAACATTTTAAGCCTTTTCGTTTGCTTCGATCTACATCCTGGCTCAAATCAACTGACAACTTCACATGAAAGTGGGCGGAACTTCTGCGTCATTGTTGAAAGGAGTGTTTTGATTGGCCAAGGACATATGAGGGACCGTTTCGAACAGAACAGTGAAGATCTTAGTATTTGATTGCGTTGATATTGCGTTGATATAATTACTTTAAGACTCAAATCATTTTAGAATAAAGATAGTGTTCGTTCATGTTAAAACCGAAATACTTGATCTAATCTCCAGTATATTCACAAAAGCAAATACATAGATACAATTTTATCATCCAGCACTGACGTAAACACGTCATATCTTTAATGACATTCCACTCAAACAACATTTTGAAAATAACAGCTTTTTAATACATGTTTGATAAAAGTCCTCGAAAATAGAAAATTACTTATTCCATATCTGATAACGGTGCTACAAACCCACAAATCACATTTATATTAAATTTGAAACTTGTTTTCATCAAAATAGTGAGAGAGAAGAATCAAGTTTACATCTTTAGTAAGATTATATATATATATATATAAATAAAAATATATATAAAATATATATATATAGAAAAAACTTGATTTGACGAGATGCGAGTAAATTATAAATAAAAATGATTTTTGACAAAAGAAGAAAGACGTTACATTTTGCACCAGCGCTTTCACTGTATTAGATCTTCAGGTGCATAGTAACTGTACATAATGATGTGGCCCATAGTAACTGTACAAAATGGTGTGGCTACACCATTATGTACAGTTACTATGTACCTGAAGATCTAATACAGTGAAAGCGCTAGTGCAAAATGTAACGTCTTTCTTCTTTTGTCAAAAATCATTTTTATTTATATATATATATATATAACATTACAATATCTTTTTTTTTTCAACTTCTTTAAACCAAATGGTGTTGAAATGATAAAGTGATAATAACATTTAATGACTTTGGGTTTTACATATTAAACATGCTACTTAATACAAATCTAATTAATTACAGAAAAGTTTCACCCATGTTCCATAAACAGCTACACCAATACGTCATACCGTCCTACCTCAATGAGATGACCTTATATCAGTAGATGAAATAGATCATTACATATGAAAAGGGATTTGGAGAAGAAACATTAAGGTAAATGAAATCAATATTATTAGTTATCTAGCATTAATCTGATGATTATACACCACATCTTTTTATGAATAAACCAGAATCAACAAACCCTTATAAACAGGGATTTAACAAAAACGTAACTAGTAACCCCTAGGCAATATTTCGCTTACCTCCACTTCTCATTTTCCCTTCTTCTCTCAACAACGGCCCCTGCATATGAACTTCAATATTATTATTTCTTTTAACATTTAAACATATAGATTACTGCCAGGGTTGGGACCCTGGATTCATCATCTGTACAAATATGTCCTTGTGCATGAGGGTTCTCATTCAACAATGAAAAGACATTCATTCATTCATTATCCTATCTCCCATGCCAGGTAAAATTTTTATCCATTTCTATAAAAGATTTTCATTTCTCTTGACTCCTTACCTGTTTTATTACAACATCTTGAACAAATTTCCAATGAATAAATTTCCAGTCCGTTTTATTCAATATAAGTGATACAACATCTACCTTCCTAGAGGGTACTATACCTTCATTATGTTCTGTTCCATTTCTGTATGCCTGCTTCCAATATTTGTCTCTTTTGTTTACTCTGTATTTTCAACAAAACTGACTGAGCTCTTACATATATATTCTGACAGAATATCAGGCTCATATTGGATTTCTGACACGGCATTAACCTTATGTCTCCAGAAAAGATTTATATATATCCCAACTTCCTTTAGGGTTTTGATATCAAGACCCTACAAAAGTTTTATTTTTAAAGGTAGATCAGGACATATTCTTTCATTTGAAAACTTTTTATTTCCTATCCAGTACAGAGTAGACTTTTGTAAATTTATCTTAAGTCCTGATACTATGGCAAAATCTTCCAATAACTCAACTACAGTGTATAACAATTGACTATTACCATGAAGTAGAAGGTAGACATCGTCAGCATATTGACCAAGAAGGAATTGGCTTGCTGTTATAACTATGCCTTTAATATCATTATTGGATTTTAATGTTAAGGATAGAAGTTCAACTCAAAACATGTATGGTGACAATGGATCGCCTTGACGACAAGCTCGAACTAAGTCAAAGAAAAGTGATAAGGGATCATTTCTATGTACACATCTTTTAGAATTTTGTAAAGAACACTTTAAAGAAATTAAATAAAAACTCTCCAAAGTTAAAAGATGTCAAAGCCTTATTAATAAACCCCCACACAAGTTAGTCAAGTGCTTTTTCAGAAAAGAAAATTGACAACAGACTGATTTTTTTTAAATAATGTCATGATGTCATAGAGGAGCCTAGTGTTATCCGCTGTGAAGTTACCCTTAGTAAAACCTATTTTTGTTTCACTTACAATTTTTGTAAGACTTCTGTCGGCTATAGCTGCAGTGGCAATCTTGTAGTTACATTTAAAAAAGAAATGGGTCGCCAGTGTCTTACTTCTGACCTTATCCTCGTATGGAATACAAGAAATAATTCCTTGATTTTAAAAATCAGATAACTGACCTTTATTATGTGCATATTTAAGTAAAAAATAAGAAAACTCCTTGGTCTTTCCAAGAAAATTTGTAGAATTCAGTACTGAAACCATCTGACCCTGAACTTTTTCTATTATTCATACATTTCAATGTTTATTGCTAGTTCTGATAGTTTTAGCTCCCCTCACAACTATTCCTATCAGTGTTATTCAGTTTAATATTATGTTGAAATAAATGTACGTTTCGATGTATACAGATTCTTAAAATCAACTGTCTCTGTTTCATTTATCTCCCCCTGGTCATCCAATGTGTCCCCATCATCTCTAATTAATTTATTAATACTATTATTTACAAAAAAAACAAAAAAAAAAAAAAAAAAAAAAAAAAACGTTTTTCTAAATCACAAAAATAATTTGATGCTTTTCAACATGATCATACCAATTTAATTACGATCGTAAAATAAGAACTTTCACTTTACTTTTCCTAACATATTCCAGTTCCTGTTTTTTAAATTGAGAGTGATAGAATTTTGACCTTTACCATACTTAAAAAAATAGTATTTTCCATATTATTTCTATTACCTTTGACAAAATATTCATCTATAGTCTCTGTAATTTCGCAGTCTCTGACTTGTTTCCGGTATACTCTACCAATCTTCTCAGAGAGAAGTATTATGTTTCCAGTATCTTCTACCAGTTATCTAATAGAGAAGCATTATGTTTCCAATATCCTCTACAAAGTTCTATTGAAATTTACATCTAATACTATGCAAGAGTGTTCTGTAACCAGGTAAGAATGTTAACTCTTTTGTTTTTTAATTTATGTCTTC